AAAAGGTGAATTGTAATGTAAATATTATAGTTTTTACAACAATCGAGAGTAAATCTCGAAAATATATTTAACATACACTGTATCAGTGAGCAAGGCATTAAACGTAAACTCATTATTCCGGGCCAACACTACCGCCTCCACCGCCAAGACATTTGGCAGMAATAGTAAGTATAAGAGAAGTGGCTAATATAGCGAGAAGTATGTTCCATATCCACTGCCCTACAAAGCCACTAATGATCAATACATCCAGCATGTTCTGAGTGCGAGTAGAGTTGAACTTACCGTGGATAAAGTCGCGGCTGTTATCGTAGTACTCAGATATCGATTTATACCAATGCCATCCAGACATCGGTATGATCACAAACGCATATGGTAGACAAGCAATCACGTACGAGAGAGGTCCAAGGATGAAGACTCCCCAGTAACAGACTTCTTCGGCAAACCCTATTGTGATCTGCAGCATTATGTTCACAATGTACCATATTTGAAAGATGAGTTCAAACATTTGCTGGTCCCAGTCGATGGTGCCTTTGTATCTCATCAAGTATAGTCCACAAATCATGATCGGCATTTCGAAAAGGACGGACAGCAACACCGAAACAACTACACAACCTTCGTGTTCCTCACTCAACACCACAAATGTCCAAAGCATAATATCCAAAATGATTTCAAATGCAAAAAACACGATATAAGCAATTGCTGCATCCTCGTAGTCTTCTGGATTTTCTAAATTAAAATCGTTTTTCAAGTTTGGAGCGATATCTGTAGCAAGAAGAATGCCTCCAAGGACAATCTCAATGATTTGAGCGATGATTTTTAATGCCCATGCAATCTTACGATATGTGTCATTGTTGATTGGGACTGTTGTTATTGTATCACTGACCTTCTCGATTATGCCCAGTACGACTTCTGGCATTTTGTATGTTGGCTTTCAATTGGGCTTCTGCACTACTCACATCATGATCAGTTGTCATTGTTTACATCACTTTGGTTTCGAAGCAAAAAGAGCAGTTTTTAGTAGATATCACTTAGAGCTATTGTGACGTAAGTGACCAGGACAATTGTTTTCCAGTTACAATGACTGGAAAATAATTCGGGGAAATTTCCCCGGAAGCAGGAAGCAGAAAAACAGAAAGAAGAAATTTCTTTTAAAGACCGGTCTCTCGATACCAGGTTATTTGATTATAACCGCGAGACTGAGTATTTAGTAGTAATTGAAAACTTTTTCTGCCGCTGAAAAAAAATCAGTATGGCCTTGCAACATCATGTTTGACCTTCGAAAACATTATGAAGTAAAATTAAACAAATAAACAAATAAAATAGAAAAAAAGTGTAAAATAACTTCAGGTCAATCGAGCAGGAAATAAGTAATTTATGCGATAAGGCAGAGCCATTACATTGGCTTTGGAGCCTAGTATGAAAAAAATATTGTTAAGTGGCCACGCGCCAGTGCCTCTTCTTTCTGTAAACGCTGGATATTTGTACATTGGCTTGGGTGAATACATTTGCATTTGTGAATCTTGTGTGGGTTTTAATAAATGGAGGCTTTTGTCTCGTTGCATGTTACACAGAAATGATGAATTGTTAAGTAGTGTTTAAAAAACGAGCAGGAGTGCTTTATCGGGAGATATAGACACGAGGCCGAAGGCCGAGTGTCTATATCCCCGATAAACCACGACTGCGAGTTTTTTTTATACTACTTCTAGAACTCCAACATCCAGAAATTGTTATCATTTTAGAAAAAAGCTAAGAAAATGCGAAAACAGAGATTATGCATATTAAACTTATACTGAGCATGCGCATTTGTCACAAATGAAAGAATTTTGATCCCACACGTAAGAACGGCTAGTCTATGCTATACTGCATATCTGCACATTGATTCAAACTGATTTAAAACCTAGCAAAGGTCTGTGATGCGGCATTAAAACTGAGACCTTTGCTAGTGTTGGGTTTCGATAAAGCGCTGATGACCTTCAACATCAGTTCTTTATACCTGATATAGAACTGGTTGATAAAACATCAGTAGTAACAAGAGGCCGTTATGCATGAGCMTGCGCGCAACCGCTGCGTTATAACGACCATGGGCTCTAGAATACGGGTAGAATAACATTGTAGTAGCAGCGGAAGCTTCGATTCTGAACATAATTGATGTTTTTACTTATCTTCCACATTTTTCCAAACAAAACCAAGTAGATATATTAACAATGCACACGAATATCTTTCAAACTTTATATAAATTACTGTGAGTCTCGGGCTAGATTTATAACACGAAGCCACTTTGTACCGTTAAAATGTARTGAATTATTTGTACACACCTTTAGCAATAATAAATTCCTAAGATGTGAATCGATTGCACTGCAATAGTTTATTTCATAACTTATAATGATACAGCTATAGAACTACCCATAGATATTTATGATAACTTGATTCAAACAAGCTCAACTCTTCATCCAAAAGAATGCTAAATCTGTCGTGAGTGCTCAACAGCACGTAAGAATTTGCAGAATTACCACCGTTCCACATTTTTCATAGACAAGAAAACATTATCAAACCATTTGCAAAGCATAAGTCTTGATATTGGTAGCCTTATTCTAATGAGTCCTGGTGGTATATAAAAGGAAAGTAGTATTTCATGTAACAGTTAATAATATTTAAGCGTAAATATTGTACACTTCAAGAAATTGTCTTTCGGACATTTCGAGGTCGATGTTACTAAAAGATGCCTAATTATATTACTACATGTGTACATTTACCATTTACTTCATGACCTGCGTTGAATCTTGRYHAKCAMTMAGCAAAAACTGGAATAGTAGTTGCGTATATAAACCACTGCAGCCTCCATATTGTAAACACAAAGTCATTAATATCAACATTTCTTAAATAAGATTTTAAACGGTCCCAATCAGTCCAATAACGCCAGTGTTTTTCCTCGTTGTAGGTTACACTATTTATGAGTGTTCTTGAGTCATGACAGAACATTTCAGGGTCAAAAACAGCCAAAAACATTTTTGGAAATAGTCCTTCGTGTCGTTGTAATTTCTCGCTTGAAGTGAATCACTAATGAATTTCCAACAGACTGGCGCATGCGCACGCCAAACGGCCCCTTGTTATCAGTAGTAGGCACTGCATGATTCCACCGTCCAGTAGGTGGTAGGTGGTAGGTGGTACGTAGGTGGGTATGCTAATGAAGTCAAAAGTGATAGGGGAGGGGTGGTCAAAACGAGTAGGTGGTATAAATTATTTTAGTAGGTGGGTATGCTAATGAAGTCAAAAGTGATAGGGGAGGGGTGGTCAAAAYGAGTAGGTGGTATAAATTAACATAAAATTGTGGGCGAGTTTTTTTTTTGTGTTGGTAAATTGTGGGCGATCTAATTATGCTGTGTTGGTAAATCGAGGAAGGTAATTATCGTAAATTGTGGGAATCATATACCATGAAATTACTATTGTTTCTGAACAAATGGCTGCCTGACATGGACCTGACAGCGACCTGACATCGACCTGACATCGACCCTACATCGACCTGACATCGACCTGACATCGACCTGACATCGACCTGACATCGACCTGACATCGACCTGACATCGACCCTACATCGACCTGACATCGACCCTACATCGACCTCACATCGACCTCACATCGACCCTACATCGACCTCACAACGACCTCACATCGACCCTACATCGACCTCACATCGACATGACATCGACATGACATCGACATGACATCGACATGCCGATGTCATGTCGATGTGAGGTCGATGTGAGGTCGATGTAGGGTCGATGTGAGGTCGATGTAGGGTCGATGTGAGGTCGATTTTATGTTAATTTATACCACCTACTCATTTTGACCACCCTCCACTATCACTTTTGACTTCATTAGCATACCCACCTACTAAAATAATTTATACCACCTACTCGTTTTGACCACCCCTCCCCTATCACTTTTGACTTCATTAGCATACCCACCTACGTACCACCTACCACCTACCACCTACTGGACGGGGCTCGAATCATGCAGTGCCTACTACTAACATCAGTTCTATATCACTGACATAGAACTGATTAATAAAACATCAGTGATTTATCGGGATGTAAAGGTCCATCATGTGACCCAATAGTTCGATGCTCATTGGACTAATAGCTCATGAACTATTAATGAGTTCTAGAATGGTTGTTGAAAGCACTGCTCATTTGCTCAAACCTGCGCTATAGAACAGCAATAATCCAGAAGTGACAGAGATTATCTAGAGAATATTATATACTTCATCATTAATGTAAATAGAATAAATAGAAGATTGAATCAAAAAATTCCAGTAAGTGTTAGAAGTGTTATCCAATCAAAACACTCCTCTGCGTGTATTTTTATCTAATCGTGATTTGATTGGTTCATTGAAGTTGCGCAGTAAATGCATGCTGGGCCATGATTGGTCAATAATACATGGCATCAGCCGGGCGCCACTCGTCCGCTTCTTTCTTTACAGACAACTAAAGAATAACATTTTAGTACAACAGCAAATACTATAATGTTAAAAATTATGTTCCATATCCACTGACCAACAAAGCCAGACACGATCAAGAAATCCAACATGTTATTTGAGTCAGTAGAGTTGAAAGTCCCATGGATGAAGTTTTGCCTGTTGTTGTAATAACCATCTAACTTTTCAAACCAGTGCCATCCAGACATCGGTATGATCACAAAAGCGTATGGTAAACAAGCAATGACGTACGAGAGAGGAGCGACAAAAATGACTCCCCAACACTTTGTCCAATCGTATACTTTATCGGCAACTCCAAAAGTGATCTGAAGCATTAGGTTCACAATGTACCATATTTGAAGCATGAGTTCAAAGAATTGCTGGTCCCAGTCGATGGTACCTTTGTATCTCATCAAGTATAGTCCACAGATCATGATTGGCATTTCAAAAAAGACAGACAACACGACAGAGACAATCACACAAGCGTCGTGTTTTCCTGTACACCTAAGAAATGTCCAAAGCGTCATATCTAATGTGATTTCAAGTGCGAAAAACACGATATAAGCGACAGCTGCTATTTTGTAGCCCTCTGGATTCTCTAAATAAAAATTGTTTTTCATGTTTGGAACGATATCTGTACCGAGGACGATCCCTCCAATCACGATCTCAACGACTTGAGCGATGATTTTTAATCCCCATGCAAACTTACGATACGTTCTGTTGTTCCAGATTGGTAATGATGTTATGGTCCCAATGATATTCTCAATCACACCCAATCTTTCAACTACATCCTCCATTTTGTATATTCTCGCTTGAGCTTCTGCACGACTAGGACACTAAGCTGTTCTCTTGGTTACGGAGCAAGCAAAGCAGCTTTAAGACATCCTACACAGCTGCTGTGACGCAAGTACTTTAGACAACTGTCTAACATTCTACCGTTCAAACAATGAACTAATTATTCTGGAAAATTTTACACGGAAGTAGAAAGCTAGAAGAAGTAATTTGCTTTGAAAAAACCTGTCCTTTCTGTATCAAGCTATAAYGATCGTGAAACTACCGAGCTAGAGTATTCAGTAGCAATAGAAAACGTTTTGTCTCCTGCTAAAAAAATGCTTAAGTAATTCTAATTTCGACTTCATATTTGACCTTGTGGATTATATGGGTAGTAAACAATGAATAACATATCTGAGGTTTGAAAACGTTTTAAAGTAAAAAAAATAGCTGATATATATCTCTGAATACAGCATGAACGAATTCAATAGTTTGAAAAGAGGTGTTTTACATTGTAAAGTCAGAAACACTCAATTGCCAATGAAGTCTGGTGTAAAATACGGTTCGGTGTCTCTTCCTGTCAGTAACTATAAACAGCAACTTGACATTGGTTGTACTGAGTGCATAAAGTTAAATTCTTTTTCGGGCTTTGATGCTTTGCATGTTATTTCCATATATGAGAACTGCTTTTACTTTCTACACCAAAAATGTTTTTAATTATTATTATCCCATTTTTGTTTCAATTACAACTTCTATTACAACACTACTATATCTACGCTACAAAAAAAAAAAAAAAAAAAAAAAAAAAACGCTAATTACTCAATAATAATTACTCAATCATTTTAATTACTCAATCATTTTTTCAGATTCAATTGAAAAATGTATACAAATGCATACAAACATAGTGATATTATTCATAGTAGTAAAAACCGAGAGACCGACAATGTAGAAAAAAGCAAAAACTCGATCAAAAAATTGTTGGCTAAGATTACTAATATTTTATAATAAAAGAGCTGCAAAAATGTCTACATAAAAAACAGAACTAATAAGGAATCTGGCAAATCTGATGGCTTATTGGATCCCTTGCACTAAACGCCATAGAAGATCTAGTATTAGTTTTTCATACTTTCTGAAGTTTTCCTCAGTTTTTAGCACTATCAAACTCGATCATAAAGTACTTCTGTAGTTTTGATTGAAAGTTTCAACTAGTTTTGGTGCAAAGCCTTTAAAGCGACTAAAGATGATACCTGATTACGACGTGAAGAGTGGGAACTAGCGGTAAACTAGTGTGAGCTGCGTCAGTGTTTTTTTTTTAAAAAAACAGTTGTGTAAAAACATAAATTTAACACCGTAAAAAGGATATGAAACAACTTACTAACATTTCGGATCCTATTCGATTTTATTCTGTTTGGCTGTTTTGGCGAAATTGATGAATATTTTCACGTCGAACAAGAGAATTTGCCTAAAATTAATATCGCACTTGGAAAGCGGTGAAACCAACAACAATGTGTGACTTACAGATAACGTATAAGGCTACTTGCTCTATATGTAACGCATCTTTTCTTTCACGCCTACAAATAAGTTTGAAACTGAAAACATCTTCTAGTCCTTCTAGGTCGTACTTTTTCAGATTAATCAAAATGTTAGCATAATTTTTCCTGTCGAACAACATATCAGCTCAGCTTTGGTAGGGATTTATTTTTATCTCGATGCCAAACTGACCATAACAAATTTGTACAAGTGAGAGACCTATTCATGGCCCAGATACTAGGAATATAAAGAAAAGCTTCGTCATTTTTTAAAATTTTGCAACAAAAATTCTCTATAATTAAAAAAAACTAATAAAATGGGAAGTAATTAAAGGTCGAGCAGATAATGTGAAATGTAATTCAATTAAGGAATAAAAGACGAAATTCCGTGTTTGATACTCTGATCAAAACACGCGGGATGTAAGGGAGAGCACGAGAGAAGCGTATAGGAAACCACGACGCGTAGCGGAGTGGTTTCCAGCTTTTCGAGTGCTCTCCCTACATCCCAAGTGTTTTGATCAGAGTATCAAACACGGAATTTCGTCTTTTATTTCTTTTCTAAAATTAAAAGAAAAAAAGAAATTTTTGACGTGCGCGAGCGTGTTTTGATACTGTAATCAAACATGGTTTTCGACCAATCACAGCGCGCGTAGTATCCTAAATATTTTAGAAACTGTAATCAAACATGGTTTTCGACCAATCACAGCGCGCGTAGTATCCTAAATATTTTAGAATACTAAATTAAAGGTTTCAAAACTGGTGTGCAAAACTCCTCTAAGAAAAATCAAATTTCCTGCAGGCTTTACAGCAATGAATAGTATAGTCAGTTAGGATATCTGTGTTGACCAGCCAAGGAGGTGCAAAAAGAAAAAAAAAATTCGCTAAATGTCCAATACATTGGACTCGTTATATATCTTCCGGCTCCACTCTTCCGTATTTATGTTTAATATATAAAAGAAATTTAACTGCAGCAATTAATGGTATATTAGCAAGAATGATGCTCCATATCCACTGACCAACAAAGCCAGACACGATCAAGAATTCCAACATGTTATGTGTGTCAGTAGAGTTGAATGTCCCATGGATGAAGTTTTGGCTGTTGTTGTAATAACCAGATAACGTTTCAAACCAGTGCCATCCAGACATCGGTATGATTACAAACGCGTATGGTAAGCAGGCAATGACGTACGAGAGAGGAGCGACAAAGACGACTCCCCAACACTTCCAATAGTATACTTTATCGGCAAAACCAAAAGTGATCTGAATCATTAGGTTCACAATATACCATATTTGAAACATGAGTTCAAAGAATTGCTGGTCCCAGTCGATGGTGCCTTTGTACCTCATCAAGTATACACCACAGATCATGATCGGCATTTCGAAGAAGATCGACAACACGACAGAGACTACTACACAGGCGTCGTGTTTTCCTGTACACCAAAGAAATGTTATGTCCAAAGTGTTATATCCAACGTGATTTCGAGTGCAAAAAACACGATATAAGCGACAGCTGCTTTTTTGTAGCCCTCTGGATTTTCTAAATAAAAATTGTTTTTCATGTTTGGAACGATATCTGTACCGAGGACGATCCCTCCAATCACGATCTCAACGAATTGAGCGATGATTTTTAATCCCCATGCAAACTTACGATACGTTCTGTTGTTCCAGATTGGTAATGATGTTATGGTCCCAATGGTATTCTCAACCACACCCAATGTTTCAACTACATCCTCCATTTTGTATATTCTCGCTTGAGCTTCTGCACGACTAGGACACTAAGCTGTTCTCTTGGTTACGGAGCAAGCAAAGCAGTTTTAAGACATCCTACACAGCTGCTGTGACGCAAGTACTTTTGACAACTGTCTAACATTCTACCGTTCAAACAATGAACTAATTATTCTGGAAAATTTTACACGGAAGTAGAAAGCTAGAAGAAGTAATTTGCTTTGAAAAAACCTGTCCTTTCTGTATCAAGCTATAATGATCGTGAAACTACCGAGCTAGAGTATTCAGTAGCAATAGAAAACGTTTTGTCTCCTGCTAAAAAAATGCTTAAGTAATTCTAATTTCGACTTCATGTTTGACCTTGTGGATTATATGGGTAGTAAACAATGAATAACATGTCTGAGGTTTGAAAACTTTTTAAAGTAAAGAAATTGCTGATATATATCTCTGAATTGTACTACAGCATGAACGAATTCAATAGTTTGCAAAGAGGTGTTTAATTTACATTGCAAAGTCAGAAACACTTAATTGCCAATGAAGTCTGGTGTAAAATACGGTTCGGTGTCTCTTCCTGTCAGTAACTATAAACAGCAACTTGACATTGGTTGTGCTGAGTGCATAAATTTAAATTGTTTTTCGGGCTTTGATGCTTTGCATGTTATTTCCATATATGACAGCTGCTTTTACTTTCTACACCAAAAAGGTTTTTAATTATTATTATCATTTTTGTTTCAATTACAAGTTCTATTACAACACTACTATCTACGCTACAAAAAAACGCTAATTACTCAATCATTTTATTAGAAATTACAAGCATTTTCAGATTTATTGAAAAACAATGCATACAAACATAGTGATATTATTCATAGTTAAAAACCGAGAGACCGAAAATGTATTTAGAAAACAGCAAAAAAATGTTGGCTAAGATTACTAATATCTTAATAAAAGAGCTGCAAAAATGTCTACATAAAAAAACAGAACCAATAAGGAATATGGCAATCTGATGGCTTATTGCTGTTATTGGATCCCTTGCACTAAACGTCATAGAAGATCTAGTATTAGTTTTTCATACTTTCTGAAGTTTTCCTCAGTTTTTAGCACTATCAAACTCGATCATAAAGTACTAGTTCTGTAGTTTTCTTGTAAAAAGTTAAATTAAACACAGATCAGTTTTCAGACATTCTGCGTAGCTGTTGTGACGCAAGAGAAATCTGTCTTACAGTTTAAACAATGAAGTAATTACTCTGGGAAATTTTACCCGGAAGCAGAAAGCAAAAAGAAGTAATTTGGTTTGAAAAATCTGTTCCTTTCGTATCAAGCTATAATGACCGTGAAACTACAGAGTTAGAGTATTCAATAACAATAGAAAACGTTTTGAGTGCAGCTAAATATACCTAAGTAATTCCAATTACAACTTCATGTTTGACCTTTTGGATTATATCAGTTATATGGGGAGTAAACAAATAATATGTCTGAGGTTTGAAAACATTATAAAGTAAAAACAATAATTGTGATATTATTCATAGCAGTAAAAAAGCTTAGGGAGACAATGTATAGAAAACGATAAAGAGCGATATCTGTACCAAGAACAGCTACTCCGAGMACAATCTCGACCATTTGACAGGTTATTACAAATATCCAAATTATACAACGTGTTTATGTTTGAGACTAAGGTCATGGCAAATATCTTCTTGAGCAAGGACTTTTTGCAGCATTTTGGCTTGACCTTCTGCGACGAATTAAGAATGTCGTCTTGTTATCAATTTGACTTTGACTGATTGAGCAGCAAAGAGCTTGTCTTATGAACGAGAAAGTGATTAGTTGCATGTATAATTCGGGGAAATTTCCCATGACCATCCAAGCAAAATGGCGTACAAGTTAAGCAATCAGAAAGGCAGACTTAGTAGCTTTGAGAAAACCGCCACATCAATGAAACTGTTAGTGATTAATTCATATAGAGAAGATTTTTGTTTTTATGAATTCCAAAAAGATTATTTATATTTATTTATATTAAAATTAAAAGGGAGAAAAGAAAGAAAGAAAGAAGAGAAAGAAAAAATGAAAAATGCATATATACATTGAAACTGAAACTGTTTTATTGCTCATTTGCTTTTTAGTTAACAAAGTGAAGTGCTTGCGATGAAAAAAGATAAATAAGTATTAAAATTGTCAAAATCATAAACAATAAAATAACAAAAATGATAACATGATAAGTAAAATAACAAAATATGAATTTTAAAGAGACATGGTCCACCAGCATTCATTGCGATCGTGTTTTAGATTTTTCATATATGGAAAATAAGGTGACTTCGAATATCCATTCGCAATCCGTTTCCATCCATCGGTTTATAGGTCGAATCTTACAGTATCTCCATTCATATAGTATAAAAGGATAATAAAGAGTATAGGTTTTTGCTTATAATACGATGTATTCTTATTTTCAAACATGAATAAAAGCTCGAAAGGGATGCTGGTGGACAATGACCCTTCAAACTCTTTAACGTAGAGAAGGAAATCGACAGGTGCTGACTTACTTTAACTAGATTTTGAACCACACTAATGTTACTTAACAAGTGTTTATTAAAAGCTCTCTATACTTGGCAATATGGTAACCATAAAAAGCCAAAAAAGACCACTGAATCTGAACGGATCCTTTTCAGTTATACCTTAGACAACGTTTTGCCGTTTATGCCATTACTCAATAAATGAAGTCATTTTGATTCTAAACAAAAGGCAAACTTAAACTATGCTAATAACTGATTACGACTGATAAATGCATGGCTAACCGAAAATATATCGTGTCGATATAGCTCAAACTGTATTAGTGTCATTGCGGTTTTTTCTTTTGTTTTTCTTTTTTCGTCTGTCTTCAGATGACGCACCAATAMAATATATTGCTGTAAGGATTAACAGAATGTTAAAAATCCACTGTCCGACAAAACCACTGATGATCAAGAAGTCGAACATGTTATGGATATGAATAGAGGTAAAGTTGCCRTGGATATATTTATGGCTGTCCTGGTAATAGTCAGACGCCGTTGCAAACCAGTGCCATCCAGACATCGGTATGATCACAAACGCATAAATTAGGCAAGCAATCACGTACGAGATTGGAGCAACAAAGATGATTCCCCAATATTTGACTTTTTCGGCAAACCCTGCGGTGATCTGAAGGATTATGTTCACGATGTACCATATCTGTAAGAGGAGATTTAGWGCTTCTTTGTCCCAGTCGATRGTGCCTTTGTACCTCATYAGATAYAATCCACACATCATGATTGGCATGTCGAAAACAACWGACATCAACACTGATACTGGYACACAAACCYTATGGCCTTTTGTTTTCACYAGAACTAWCCAAAACGCCACATCTAAGAACAGCTCCAGTAAGAAAAAGAAGATGTAGGCAATTGCAGCATCTCTGTAATCCTGTGGCTTTTCTAAATTATCTGCAGAACCTGCGGCAATTTTTAGCATGTTTGGAACAATYTCTTTACCAAGAAAAATGGCTGCAAGCACAATCTCGATGAATTGTGCGATGATTTTCAATGCCCATGCAATGGGAAGGTATATTTCGCTCTGAATAGGCACCGAAGTTACCGTACTAATAATCCTCCCAATTATAGACATTGGTTCTGATACTATTTCTGACATTATTGTGTGTTTGTTTGAAATTCCTCCACCAAAAAGTTGCCTTGTTATTTCTGCAGTGATTTTCTTTGACTGGGTACCAGAGACATTACTATCGGCTACATTCTCTTGGTCTGATGTGACGAAATTGATAAGACACACAATAGCTGTATTCGAGTTAACCAATAGAATTTGTCTACAAAATTAACGTCACACTGTGAAAGCGGTGAAGTGATAATTCTGGGAAACTGGGAAAATTCCCTTGTCAGTCTTGGCCACCCAAGCAAAAACTGYCATTTTTTATTGTCGATTGAGACTGAGGTTATATAAAGCTTTGATCATTTGTCTTCCCGATCACACCCAAGACTTTTTGTAGCATTTTGGCTTAACCTTCTGCATGGGACGAAGACCGTTGTCTTACTATATATATAACTGTATCCACCAATTTGACTTTYATTTCGCAGCAAAGTCGAAGCAAAGAGCTTGTCGTATGAACGAGAAAGTTGCATAAACTTAGGGGAAATTTCCCTGTATGATCATCCAATCAAAATCGCGTACTTAAGTTAACCAATCAGAAACTAGTAAAAGAAGAATTTTGTTTATTTCATAACGATTCTGGTATGGTAAAAATACTAGCACTACAAGATTTTTAGATTTTGGGTTTTATGAAGTACATAAATTCCAAATAGATCATGCAAATTCACATTTTTAAGGACAATTTTCAAGTATTTTTGAATGGTTAGAAAGTCCAACTTCTGAAGAAAGTATAAATTAACAAACATCTTTATTCTACTAACAGTTATGTCCATTTTATTGAGGTATTCATTTCTGTGTSACTGTGCTCTATAGATATGTTCGAGTGAGCGCATTTACTCGTTAAATTGTACACAATCTGTATGGACAGAAGCGTCAATTTTTGGAAATCACCATATTGTTCTTTGAGAACYGTTTACTATAACTTGCATAAAAAAGTACAAAGAGGCTAGTACAATTTCAAAGTGCGTTCACTCTCACATTTCTTTGTTGGAAATGAACTGGCAATTTTTCAATGCACCACTTTGATATAAAACTTAATATTGCAAATCTATAATCTAGTTCAAAACATTTATGTAAATTGACAGRTAACATTAMAGTAAGTATAAAATTAAGTGATTACTTGGTATTAATAATTAGATTGTATRWTTCTTAATATGTACTTGTAGATATGTAATGATAATGTACAGTCCTTTCTAATGAAAGAGTTTTCGCTATTATTTTCTTTTAATCAGCCTTATTTGAGTGATCGCACTTAATAAAGCATCATGCAACTGTACAAGCTAAATTGTGCTATTTAGTTGTATTTAGTAATTAGTTCATGCGGTACGCAAATTAAATTGAATTGATACAAATGAAGCATTCAATAACCGTCTTGCAACTTAGTACTACTT